TTACTCATAATCCTTATATACCTTTTTTAAGTACTGCATGTTAATTCCCTTTTTCTTTCTTTTTTTCTTTCCATGTTTTCGATAATTTATTTTTCATGTAATTTTTATTGTTGTATTCTTTTTTAGCTCAACAAAAACATCTAGTGGGAGTTATATAACATATATAATATAGGGCTGTTAAAATGAAGATTTTATACTTAAAACTCAAAGAATAAAAGTACTTATTCAAACTTTTATATACTTTAAAAAAATATTTTTAGTTCTATTTAAATTTTGTACTTAAAATAAGAAATAATATTTTTATTGAAAATTGTATATACTTTTAAAAGAAAAATAATAATACAGAATGGCACACATTATTTGTGAGATTTGCCCACCATATTTTATAATAATTTTCTAACTCATATTACATAATAAACTTGATTTATAAATTTAATTAAAAAATAGTATTATATTATTTTATAGTTCTTATATATTAGATTATTTAATTTTATTAATGAATATCGATATGATTTTTTTATAGATACGCTATTTATATAAAATCAAAGATAATCAAATATAATTAATAAAAAAATTGACACATATGATTATGAATTATAAAAAAAATTGACATATAAGATTACTAAGCACAGAAGTTAACATGTTGATTGAAAAATCTTTGCATTTATATATTGGATAGATTATAATTTATTTTATAATTCATTTTAAAAATTGATATTGTATGCCCACTTACTAGTTATTGTTCATATCTAGGAACATAATTATTACCTTTTTATATATATATATATTAATTCATTGCATGTAAATTGGCTTAGAAAATCATTATCAAAATTATCTTGAAATCCACGTCAATACATTAATAAATTTTAAGTTTCGATGATTTTAGCAATAAAATATTGGAGGATAATTATTTTCTCAGCAATCAATAAACATTGTTTTGAAATGAACATACCACAAATGAAAAGGACAAGTAGTTAACTCTTTAATAGATTTTGGCCCACACTCAACAAATTTTCTAGATCCGACCCTGGTCGAGACAATGGCAAGAGGCGGGCCGACCAAGGAGGACTTTGATGTTAAGGTCGACATTATATGTTTCGTTTATATATAGTATACTTTTAGTATATATTCTCGTCGGTACTCTATGTTTATGTTTATGTTTGATATATAATGTACTACTAGATTTTACTAATTTCCACATGTTTGTAAAAATACCTCCTATAACGTGTGTTTATGTTGAGTATATGTCTTATTATTATTATTTTTTTTATAACAGGACAAGTTTACTAATTTACACATGTTTGTATTGTATATTGACTATAAACGCAATACTCTGACTCAAAATTCAAACACGTGAGAGCTGAAATGTATATAAAAAAAATGTTATGTAAATAAAAAAGGCAATTTATTCGTAATATATGCTAACTATAAACGCAATATATTCCGTCCATTCAAAATACTTGAGAGCTGAAACTCCCATAACAACCTGCGCAGTTTAGGAGGAGATAGTTACATTTATTTGACAACTAAAAATTTGGCGCATATTTGCAATTAATTGACATGAAATTTGTAAAGATGCAAATAAAGTGTGTTCGTATCATAAAATTACAATTATTTATAAAAATAAAGTTTGCAAATTAGGGACCGTATTATAGGAGAGTTAGCTGTTGGTAAAATCATGGGAAAATTTTGTAACTGTCTCTTTCTAAGACTAATATTCTAAAATAGTCACCACACATACACAATACCAAATATACTCCAATGTTTGACAAATTTAGGAAAACACAATTAAAAGAAATAAAAAAATTAAAAACTGTGAATCGCTTCGGTAAAAAAAAAACGGCGACAATCTTTCTCTCCCTCTTTTTTCTCTCTTCTTTTTTCTCCCTCTTTCTCTCTCTTCCTCTTTTTTATTTTCCTTTCACGTTTATTTTTCTATCTTCAACTTTTTCTTCTTCTTCTTCAACCATAGTGTCTAATAAAAAAATATATTAGATTTTAATTATAAATAAAATATCCTAACAAAGAATCATGAAATTTTGTTTAATATATTTTCTATTTTTTATTATTTGCAGTAAATTTTTTTTTTTTTTTTTTGTTTTTCTGGATCGTTGGAAATTTTGATAGAGGCAGAAGGGATGAAGAAGAAGACGAGAGTTTTTTGTTTTGTTTTGTTTTGTTGTTTAGTTGTAAAGTTGTTTTTGTGTTGTTTGATTGTTGTAATTTATTTATTTATTTATTTTTGTTATGTTATTCACAATTTCATATATTTGTTGTAAAACTTAATTTTGAATCATTTTATTGTTAATTGAAAGTTGTTTTCATGTTGTTTGACAGATGTTATACTATTATTTTATAGTTACTTCATTGTTGTTAATTGAAAGTTGTTTTAATGTTGTTTGACATATGTTATACTATCGTTTTATGATTACTTCAATTGATCCAGTGCCTAGTAACGAAGAAGAGGAGATCATTATTCATAATTGCTCTAAATAAAAAAAATAATCTCTAATCATCTTTTTTGTTTAATAATAATATAAAAAATTAACTTTCCATCATGAATACAAAAAACACAAAAACAGTTGCACAAAATTATAATTGATAATTAACCACAAAAAAACCAACTTAGATTTTTTATCATCATCAAATCATTAAAAATAGTCACAAAATACAACGCTCCACCAACAAGTACATCATCTCCTCATTCATTATCCATGTTCCAAAAAATAAATAAATACACATAGGAAGAGTATGGTGGAAAAATAAAATAAAAATAAAAATAAAAATTCATTCACATAACCCGTGCACCTTCCTGATAGTCTCAATTTGGCCGAACAGCTCACAGATAAAAACATCCGCCCTCTCCACTATGAAGCCAACATCGTTCCGTGCACCATTGGAATTCTTCCTCTTATATGAAAGCGGCATGACGACCTATTTCTTGTTCTCTTCTTAATGTGGATTCCGAAAAAGCAACATGAATTGTAACCACATGTTTCTTCCTCCATTTGATATTTCATCTCATGATTCAAGCGGGAGTATTTCAGAAATATAGGAATTGCACAATGACTGTTTCAAAGATAAACAAATTAATAAACAAAAAAATTTCAAAAAATTTGCAAAGTAAAAATTCAAATAATTTTTTTTTTTTTGTCCTCTAATTTTGTTTATTTTGGGATCCTCTAATTTTTTTGCCATGCGTTTTCCTCTAATTCAAAGTAAAAATTCAAATAAAATTCTAATTTTTCCTCTAAGATGAATAATCTATATAACTATCAGATACTAGAAAATCGTGCCGGTTAGAAATTAAAAAAATAAAAAATAAATAATAAAACCACCGTACAATTGAAAGCAGAAGTTACAAAATTTAAAAATTCAAAAAAATAAAAACCACCCTCTAA